TAGATATAGATATAGATATAGAATAGATGTCTCCAAGGCCAGCACGCAACAGAAGAGCAGATCGCTCGGATGCGCCTTCCTGGTGCATGGGGACCCAGGGCAGGGGCCGGAGCTCTGGATGCACATCGTTCAATCAAGATGCGGGTTCAGCACTTGTGCCAGCACCGTCAACACGAAAGCTTGTCCATTGAAGCGGTAGTCCAGCGGACCTGCCGAACACATAGAAGGCACGGTGATAAGCTGAAAAAGTGTCGGAAACGCCGGTGCTACGCCTGGCCTGGGCAGAAACCCTTTTCTACCAGAAAGCTCTCCTGAGAGCGGCGCAGCATCCCAATTAGCACAAGCTGATCGCCGGAAGCCAAAGCCAAGGCTCCAAAGCACCAGACTCTCTCGGCCACCTCATCCGAACATCACTCTTCTCAAGTCCTGGCGACATGTTGATGCAGAAGGCCCTTGACGGAAGTCTTCGTTCTGAACGACGAGAAAGCAGGTTCTCATCCGCATTGCAAGAAGGAATTGGCAATGCACAGGGAATGCAGACTTTCATGGGCCTCCTACGACGTCTGAATCCCAATCCAGTTCCACAAAGCAGTGATTGAGGCTTCAAGCTGTGCTCGAGACATCCCATCGAAATCCCTTTCGCCATGTCCTGGGACAAGTGAAGCCAAGCGCGTCTTGCGCCGGCTCTTTGCCTCGCTTTCCCCAAAATCAAGCCCTCTGCAGAGATAGGTGTGGTGCAAACAAGCCCATTGCCTTGATGCAGCTGGGCACCAGGCCCTGTTCGATGGCTGCTTTTGAGACTCATCTGTGTCTGCGACATCAATAACCTCACAGCAGAAACGCACGTTCGTGGCTTCTTCTGGCAGGCACTTGGCATGCCAATGACCAGCCGAGACTGCTGCCAAGAAAGCCTCGAAAAGATGGTCGCCTGAGCATGTCTTGCCCCTTTTTGACCAAATGGTTTGGATCTCATGTTGTGCAGACACCTCTCATTCCCTCTCTCTCTCTCGCTCGCTCTCCCTCCGCCTCTCCCCCTCCTGGAAGTCCACTAGCCGATGAAGCAACAAACCTCTGCGATATTGAGCTAGGCCACATTTTTCAGCGCTTGCTATGCTGTCCTCACAGCTCACCGGCAGGCACAAGATCCTCATCTTATAATCATGACCCTGCTCCTCGACGACTGGTGTGGCCAACGTTGTGCTAGTCGGCTGCGGGGTGAACAGGCTCAAAGTGCCCTTAGATGTGGCGTTGCCTAGCTGTCTCAAAGCTGGACACTGTCTTAGTACAGACTGTCTGCAGCTAAGGCTCCATGACATCAAACTCGCGACCATCCAGCCGCCGAGACCTTGCATACAGGTTTGCCATGGTTTACCGTTGATGTCGGCAGATACGTACCACATGCTCTTCCATTGCACTTACGTAAGCTCATGTCCCCTGCTGGGCCATCACAAAGGACACTATGCATAGCATGGCATGGTATAGTCGTATAACATATTCTGCTATATGGTGGTTACAGTATCGCATCGTATCGCATAACATATTATGCTACATGATATATTCTGCTCTAGTATAGCATTGCAGAATATGGTTTATGATGGTATGGTATGGCAAATTATTGCAGATCAGGGTGTAGCATGGTATCACCATAGTCTCTGTCTCTCTATCTATATATAGTATCGTAATGCTACGTTAGATGGAGCCCTTCCCACATCATCTGCCTCTCTCGACCGGGTGGAAGAGAAGCCGTCACGATGCGACCTTCAGAAGGCAATAAGCGCAACGGCTCGTCGAGGGTGGAATTTATGGTAGGGTTTAGAGTGCTTGAGGAAATTAGGGAATTTAGGGATCGGGTTGAGGGTTGGAATGGGTTGGAGAACCGTTTCGATGAATTCCGGCGCTCTGCCTTGCCCATGAAGTCCACGGAAAAAGCCTCGCCGTGACCTGCCTGAAGATCTTCGACACTCAGTGGAATCACTGCAAAAGTATTAGGCTCAACTGCAGGCGACGTTGATGGCCTTCTGCGAAATCTGAGCCTGGTGAGTCGGCTGTGCCGTTGGACGTGGGGGAGACCTCCAACTATCAAGCCAAATCAAGTCTAAAGGAACTGGTTTGACAAGTCAAAGCACCTCCTCGGGTTCACTCTGAGCTGCCGGATATGTGCGACAGCGCTTGTGAGAAAAGCGGTTCTTGCTGGAGGAGCTGTTCCTCAGCGATCACTCAACAATAGCATCCCCAAGTACTACAACATGACCTCTTGTCGACAAACTCTAGCCCTCCAGGTAGCGTTGAACATGACATGGTTGCGCATGCGGTGTTTGCTTTGCGTGCATGTGGACATAACCGCGAAACCGCAAAATCGTCTCCCCCATCTGATGACCTTCGAAACTCTCATGCTTCAGGCTTAGCCAAGCTTCGAACTGTCCACACTGCAAGGAGTGCCGATGCTCTGGTGGCTCAACGGACTCTCTGCGGACGCCTGCACCCTGAGCAGGGGTCCTACGGAAAGTTGCTCGACCTAATGCAAAGCATACCATGATACCGTAAGCAGCACAGCATAACATGGTATGAAAGGTGCCTTGATGCTGCTGTGAGTCAGAGCCGCTGATGACATTGCATGGCCACTGAATACACTTCCGTGCTCACACGAACTTAGACTTGCCAGTCGGTTCTACGCCTTTTTGCAACTATGGCGATACGTGGTCTCTTAGATATGCAAGGCAGCAAGGTGTGTGCAGATCGGCCCCTGTTTGTACGTCCTTCTTCCATCGAAGACATGTACGAGGCATAAGCAGTGTGGGTTTCGTTGAAGGCAGAAAGCACAGCTAGGCCGAACTAGAAACGTCGTCATCATGGCTCTTTTTTGTTGGCGTCATCGTGGTCGCAAGCTTCAATTCTCATTTTTACCCACGGGTGCTTGCCTCCCTCTGTTTCACTGCTAGCACGGCTAGTGCTGTGTTGAAAGAGAACAGCCTACTTTCGCACAACACAGCTGTTGTAGCTTGCAGGTCCCTTTGACGAACTGGTGGCTGGGGCAGCTGCAGCCTTCTGACGATCCGGCTAAAAGTAAGGTTTCGTTTGTAGGAGCTTAAGAATAAGCGGTCCTGTTTTTTTGTTTACCTTCTGTTTTCAACTGTATTTATCGGTTTGTTTCACCCCTCCCCCCCCCCCCAAAAAAAAAAAAAGCGAAGATGCAC